CGAATGTGTAGATCCAATAGTCCACTACACCGATCCAACTGCAGTAACTGGCTGTGAGAGGAAATATTCACTTGTGGAAATTTCCCACAGATGGTTCCGCGTGCGTGATATATTCCACGGTAGGAAAATTATTCACGGCTAAAAAATGTCACAGGGGTTTATTGTGCCGTTCACCAGTTGACACAAACACAGAGATTTAGTCCCACTGGTTCAGCAGTCAACAAACAGTTCAATGGAGCATAAATGCACTCGTTCAGCAAGAAGTCAGCAGGTCGCGCCGGAAAATTGTGTATTCGTAACATTAAAACAAACGTCATGATACAATGTGTACGACAGTTACAAAGTGTGGTTTAATTTCAGGAAGAATGGTAAATGTGACAACGGAATACAGATTCTACAGGTGAAACGTGGGGTAATGCTTACCTCTGTATTTGGCCCTTGATTAGATTTAGTCTTCATCAACGAAGTGCCTTCCACTCTCTTTTTCCAACAGCAGTTTCATTGGTGTTTTGCAGTCTAACGCACAGATTCACCCAGTGTTCGCAATATTCATTCAATCAATTTGATCTGAGCCTTTAGTCGCATATATATATTCCTTAGCGCAGGGAATGTGTCCTCGAAGTATGGCAACTCTGGCGACATTGGAAAGACTCTGAGGTTTTTTTTCGAAAGTCATCATCCTCGAACCGACTAAAATGATGATTGAGCACTATCGTTTATTTTTGAAGAACATGGTCACAAACATAAAAAGTGAATGCAAGCGATGAATGCGGAAGAGTAACAGGAGAATATGGGAGAAAAGAGAGAAACGTCTTATTCGAGTTCATGCCACCAACAGTTCCAGTCGGATAAGATGAATCCCAACGTATGTGAAAATTTTGATATGGAAACACGCGTCTAAAGACTAACAACCGAAGAAAGGACAAACAATGGTGAATGCTCTTCAAGGCGTAGTAGGCGCTAGCACAGTCAAGACTCGCACGTCAGGCACAAAATGTCCATCATACTGGGTCTGGTGTGAGATTAAATGACAAAAATGTACATTCAAAGCCATGTGCCACGCATAAAAGTGTCATAAGTACGCAGAGAGCCAACAATGGCAAGCAAACACAAGTCACTGACTGTGACCTTAGGAAGTCCCAATCCAATAACAGTCTTGGCGTATTGAGAAAAGCAGATCCCTCGATAAAAGATGATCATCGGTTGGTGAACCAAAAAGTCGACATCACAACCGATTGCATGTAGGGGTGAGATTATGGCGAGAGAATATTCATCAGCACCATACTTCTGCTTTCTCTCATTCCACATTGCCACTCCACGCCCATCCGAGACTATGCTGACGTCTATTACAGTTGCACGGCGATCTCGAACAGCGATTAGGTCACGTTTGATGAACGACGTAGAAGCAGGGGCTCTCAACTCCTCGAAGACGGTGTATCCCAATCGACGGAGACGTTTTGCAAGTTCCATTGCAACCCGATTATGACGAGCACATCTGGCATTATGCGTGATCCAGCAGGATTGCAAAATATGCACCAAACTCTCCGGTTGGCCACAGTCTCCACGACATAGGATCGTCTGGCCACCATGACCATTCCGAGCGCTTCTAGCTCTCGTCGCTGAACCAACTTTCGAACGCATTCTTTCCTATATCATTATATTTTCTTTACATACTAGTTTTGATACTTGCTATAGCGCCCACTGCAAACGCCTTACCGGGTGCTATGAAACGCAAGCCTTTGTAAAAAAACCTGAAGTATATAGTAATTTTAGACCGGCCAATCCTTGAAAAATAGAGAATGAAGCAACATCATCTTTCACTTGTGAAGCTGCGTTGTACAACCCGTCGCCCTATGCATATATGTGATGTTATTTTTATACAGGAAACTACTCACAAGTTTGCTGAAAACTCGTCGACAGCCCACGACCGGTTTTGCCATTCTTGGGGCTCATCAGATAGGCGCAGCCCTCGAGTTTCCGTCGACCTTATGTTCTACTCGAGTGTTCTACTCAAGTGATGTCTTCGTTTGTTTGTCAGTGTCTAGTATGACTCACCACTTATCCATGCACCAATCAGACTGCACGAGATCTGACCTAGCAAGGCACGTGACCGTTAGGTCCCTGGCGTGATCGGCCAATCCGGTGGAACTGTTCAGAATAATCTACCCTTTCAAATAGTACAGAAAACGGCCGAGGTGATGACTCTTCGACTTCTTGCCCGTTATGTTTGTCTCCATAAAAGACTCGTGAAGTGCACAGACGGACACAGTCCCCAGGGAACAATATGACAAAACAGTGCCCCTACAACAGAACGTCTGTAAAGCCGTCGGTACCGGACCAAATGTCGTAGCTGTACTTGCCAGAAGCCATGCTATCTGGAGAATATGCAGGCGCATTTTTTGCTTAGATATCTGCGACCCACCGACGAAAATTGAACGCTAACCAATCTGATCCTGAAGACTATTTTTTGAAAAAGGCTGGGACCCATGAAGAGCATTTCTCTGGACGGGCATTACCTGGACTAAATGAATGCGATGCGTACATGTTGTGAATTGTTGAACTAGTGGACTGAAGCCATGTAACAAACGTATACAGGTGTTGTGATGCTGTGATTCGTTGAAGTGAAATGAAGTAAAATGACCTTGTTCAGTTAGCTTATTGAAGAACAAACACGCGTAAGCTTTCAGAAGCGACTACGCGCCCGTTGGCTGAAAATTTGTCAACTGCATCGGACAAGATTACCTAAAATGTACCTCGAATTTTCGACACTTGGATGTGAAAGGCTACCTCTTCAAAACCTGACACCATTTATGCGCATTAATAGAAATAAACCAAATCTAGAAACTACTAAGTAGCTCCCATAAGTATTGTGTGTCACCAAAAGGCCGAAACCCAATTAATCATGATTGGTTGTTTATCAGGCTATGAACCTATGTCTGAAGTGCCTCTGAACAGTCTAAATGTTTCATGTATGCCATTTAAAATCATTTACGCCAATTATATGGAGGAATTAGAAGACGTGTGTTATCCAGCCTGAAAAAGTCAATGAATATAATATATTAACACATAATGTCATGTGAAAAAAAATAAAAAAATTTCAGCTGTAGCACTGTCTTGATGCCCAACCGCCAAGTCACCAGAAGGAAGCACGATGGTGTGGATACTGCCAGGTTGTTCAAGACTAGACGCGGAGGAAGTCGAAATCCAGAGATCGGGTTCGAGCCTCGGGCCTTCCGGTTAGTGAATTCGCCCTCTAACCATATCATATCACATCACATATATTCCATACAATATGATATATAATATATTAGTATAATGATATACAAGAACAATATTCGCCCTCAACCATATCATATCACATCACATATATTCCATACAATATGATATATAATATATTAGTATAATGATATACAAGAACAATATAATATATTTTGTTCTGGTACGCCCCAGAGTACACTTTTAATGCACCCATATGCCACTTATCTAAGTCCATGTACACAGGCCGCCATGATCCGGGTAATAATGACCAGTAGGGATTTAAAACAACTGTTACACACTGTTGCGCAACTCACAATGACTCAGCTAGTCGGTTCAACACTTAGCCGTTCGGTTACAACCTCCGGACTGATCAGCAGTGTGATAAGTTCTCACAACGCCACTTATCCTGCCGTCATGGAATACACATCACGTGGTCACGTGTTGACTTGCTTCCCGAGGAATAGCATTTCAAAGGAACCTTTGTCTTGTGATTTTTAAAAAAATCTCAGGTGAAAGGTTCACATGGCCCAGCCTTGAGGTGTTAGCCAAAACGATGCGAGTTTGAAACTCTCTGAAACTTCATGAGATGCGCAGTGCTGATGACTTTAGAAGGAAAATTCGATGAACAATTTACAGATCCTGTCGTATTTTTGACAAGCAAAACAGCTACAGGTTTGTGATTGGACAAACTATTTACACGCGCGTCCATTGTGCGTGAGTGGAGTAGTGGTGCCATGCTATCCCAGGACATCGCATTACCGCAGTTCACGCCCCGGCAAGATCAAGGATACGCACTGCTGGCGGGCCTTGAGAAGAGCAAAACTTGAATCCAGTGGGTCCAAACCTTGTTTTTGCCAAGAGAGGAGGATGATTCTTAACGACGGTGGTGCCCATATACAGGAAAACGTTGCCGAACTCCCTGAATACGTATCTGTCGAGAAAGTGGAACTATGTGTTCAGGCTTAGAAAAGGGGCCAATGGCTACCCGGGGAGGTTTATAACCAAGAATATGTCCGACCGCCCTATCCAACCGTCTATCATGACCGTTGGAAAGAAGGCAATATACTTGAGTCTACCGTATAAAGGCGATCTGTTGGCGGACATAGTCAATCGCCGCTTGTTTCAACCCTTACAACGCACGTTTCCGGCTGGAACTCTGCGGTCTTGGTTTACAA